GCAGGTACTTTTCTCTTAGTTACCCCCGTCTCATTTAATGTTACCTCTTCATCTAGTAGTGCATACTTATAACGAGCATCTTTCCAATATTTTTGATTAAGATCTTTATTTAGTTGTGATTGTTGCTTTGCCAATTCTACACTATTAGTCAATGACCTTGTAGCCGCACGAACAGCCATATCTATCAAAGTTTTTTGTTCATCTGTTAGTGTATCAGAAAGAGGTGTTATCTTTCCGTCTAAAGGAGTTTTGTCATTTTGCTTTTCAGTATCCTGTTGTATATCATCCGATTTTTCTTCAGAAGATACTGGAGCTTCAGTAGGAGCTTCTGATACAGGTGTTACTGGAGACTTTGGAATAGGAGGATCATCAGTTATAGAACTATCAGATTTAGGCAAAATTTCTGTTTTTTCATTAATTTGATTTTTAACTTGAACTTGAGAAGGAGCAGGTGTATCTGTTTCATGATTTTCATCAACCTTTTCCACTAAACCTGCTTCTTGTAAAGGATTTTCAGGTTTAGTTTCAGATGGAGAAGGTGATGCAAAACTTTCTGATACAGGTGTTACTGGAGACTTTGGGATAGGAGGATCATCAGTTATAGAACGATCAGATGTAGGCAAACTTTCTGTTTTTTCATTAATTTGATTTTTAACTTGAACTTGAGAGGGAGCAGGCGTATCTGTTTCAGAATTTTCATCAACATTTTCCAATAAACTTGCTTCTTGTAAAGGATTTTCAGGTTTAGGCGCGGAAGTTGATGCAAAACTTTTAATTGCATTTATTATTATATCTTTTTGCTCAGTTTGCGGCTTTAATCGAACAGTTTCAACGGAGCTTTCCGGAACTGAAGATAGAACTGGAAGTTTTGCCCCTTTAATTTCTTTATTTAAATATTGAATAAATTTATAAGCACGATCCTTTGGCATATCAAAGTAACCTTCCGTTTCCAATTGTTGAATGAAACTCTCATACTCAGCAGTAGGCAATTTTTCTTTTTGTTCAACTTCGGGCTGTTTTTGCGGAGTAGATTCAATGGTTTCTTCGATAGGAGTAACAGTTGAGTGTTCTTCATTTTGATTGGCTGAGGGAGGATTAGTAAATTCATCAAGTGCTTGTTTGATCAGCTCTATTTGATCTTGATTTGGAGTGAAACGAACCATTTCTACACCATCGATTGCAAGAGGGCTTATAGGCGGTAAACGAATTCCTTGTTTTCCTAAAAATTTCATGAAATTAAATGAAATTTCTTTTGACAAATCAAAATACCCATTTTTAACTAATTGTTCGCTTATAGTCTCAACAGCGCGTCTTTTACGAAAATTCCCATAAATTCTCTTTTTATTCTCTTCAAGTCTCATTTCCTCTCGCTCGCGATCCAATTCCTTTTTCCAAGCATCAAGTAAAATTGCATTTATGGACTCTTCCAATGCCTCTTCTGAGGCAAAAGACAAATCAGGTATCTCGATTCGAACAGATAGAAGTTCCTTTCCATATCGGCGATAAATTGTAATAGATTCTTGTTCTTCGGAATCTCCAAGTAAAGAGAATGAAAATGGATAAATAATGTTTGAAAGTGCAACAGTCCAACTTGAATCTAACTCAAGTGTGTCAGGCATCCTTACTGTAAACTTTGAGGTAGTATTTCCTTCAACATCTTCAGAATTTGAAGGTAAAACAACATAAAATGAATCCATGGTTAATGTCGAACTATGTCGTTGTCGTTTACCCAGCTGTTATGAATATCTTTATAACCAACCCAACGCACAAAGTGTTGCTTTATCCCTGTACGTGTTTTACGAGTCCTTAAAATTTCGGCAATACGATGAGTAGTATCCTCTTGCGTGGGCACCAACTCTTCTCTATAGAATATTCCTTCAATTAGGTTGTCTTCAAAATCTTTTAACCTATATGTTATAGGCGTACGTGCGTCGTTAGTTGTATGTATAAGAAAAAGCTCGTCAGTATAGTTTGGTAAATATCCTTTTTCAAATTTACCCTTTTCTTTTGATATACGGACGACTTGTCCAGGCTCGAGTTTAGAAATTATTCTTTTAGGAATATCAATGCCCTTATATAGCCTCTCAAATAATTTTTGAGAATTTTTAAAAGTAACAGAATTAGGTGTAACACCTGTAACACGGTTTACGCTTGAATTTATTCCAGAAACAATTTTTTGAATGGCTTCAACCCACCGAAGTGTGTTTTTTTCGCTGAAGTATCGATATAATCTTTCTTTTATTGTACGATTTGCTCTTTCTGCCATTGAAGCATGAACATCAGGGCTATAAACTACACGTTTGTCGATATCCTTTGTTCTAAAATATTCCTTCATTCTTTTAGCCTCAAATTCTAATCCTCGATCAGTATACAATTTATGAGGCAAGACACCATCTGACATTTTGAAAATTTTTTCAAATGCCTCAATCATATCTTCTGATCTCTTAGTTTTGACAGGCGATGCAAAAATCTTTCGACTGAGAACATCAACACATACTAAAAGGTATCTGTTACTATCGTTATGCTTAGCTATCTGGTCAAATATCGCTAAATCTGCCTGCCAATCTGTATGAAGACCACTTGGACGTGTAACCAGCCTTGGAAATTTTTTTCTTGATGGTCTATGCATAGTATACACTCTTTGCTTATGCAAAAAATTATAAACATCCTGAAATTTTATCTTTGGATACTTGCGCCTCGCTTCTTCATAAACACGATTTATTCCTGCATACGAAGCAGGAGAATTCAGTGAATAATAAATTTTTGATAAAAAATTATCTAAAGCTTTTCCCATATTTGAGGAATAAATTTATTTTTCTTTTTTATAGGCAGGACTTTTACCAATACTCTTTTCTTTCTTTTCCCACTACCTGATTGACTTTTAGAACTTTCCTCTGTACTACTTTCTCCTTGCGTCTCTTTGATCATTTCTTTTACTAATGGGTCTTTGGATAGTCGATTAAATAGAAAACTAAAACCTTTAGGAGGTGACGATATATCACCTTGTACATATTCGAGCACTTCAGTGAAATTACTATTCTTTACAAGTCTTCCTTTGACATTAGATTCAAAGCTTCCATTCTTACGTATTCTAAATTTTTCAGCATTATCTTTAACATAATTTTCTAAATCTTTCGAATATCTCTTTGAAATAATTCCATTAAAAGGTGTTGTTTTTCTTCTTTTCATTAGTTTTGTCGATGTAAATTCTGAATCTGTTTGATATTCTGAACTTGATTGTACAGGTGTTATCCGTGCTTTAGGGGCTGCAGTTTCACTAAGGTATGGAGCAACTTCTGGAGCTTTAGTCGCATTACCTTCATCGATTATCACTTTTTGAGGTCTATTTTCTAATTCATGTTTGAGTTGTCTTCTTTTCTTATATAACCAGTTATATTTTTGGGCTTTTACATCTTCCCTTAAATCTGGATCACTAAGAGTCTGCTTAATGTTTGAGTCAGTCTGCACCTTTTCATTTTGAAGAAAATCTCCGCCTTTGATCATGCTTAAAAGTGTAAGATATTCACTTTCAGGAATCATAATCATTTTCTTCGTATGTTTCATTCTTGTGTGAATCTATGAATGATGTGTTCAGCTAAGGCTCCCAGGACAGGTACAAGTATAGCAGCTAGAGCGGCACTACCTCCTTGTTGTATTCGGTTTCTGGCGCTTTTTTCAGTACGTGTTCGGGCGATAGCTCTATAGAAATCGGCAAATTGAGCTAACTTCTTGCGCTGTCTTTTATTTAATATAAAATTATTTTTTAAAATATTAGCACAGATTTCAACTATTGCTAATATTTGATCCGCACTGGCTGAAAGAATTAAGGCGTTCTTCTTTTTATCGGAAGATGTTTTAGCTAAACGCTGTAAAAATTCAAAATTTTCTTTAACGTATGGACTATAGTCATACATTTTTTTATAAATAATAGTTTTATGATCACTTATATATTATAGAGGCAAATATATAGTCTGTTTTTCACCTGGAAATATTTTAGTGGAAAGACGCAGATTCTCTTCTGTACTTGGATGCATATTAATTAGTAAATAGGAAAATTGTTCGGAAGTAGCATCGCGATAGGCCTCAAGAAAATAGTTTAACATTTTTGGGAAAAGCTGAGATCCGAGTGTGCGTACTTGTAGTAGTCCTTGAGGATTTTTAGTTAAAAGAATATAATGGGCGTTTGCACGTGCTGTCTTGATATCTCGTCCGTAAAGTGATTGTGTTACAAAGATTACGCTTACACCCCAGTTATGAGATCCCCGCGTGAATAATAAATCTAGAAATTCCATAGGGATATTTAGCATTAAGTCATCTAGGACTAATAATTGGTGCTGTTTAATCATCTCGACTTCTGGAACCCCATTATATGTTGTTATTCCCATTTCTTTTAATTTAAATATATTTTCGTTCATTTCACCAAAACAAAACAATATTTTATTTGGCGGAGGGTCAATTAATTTTTCACAATTTGCTAAAAATTTCATAAGCCATTGGGTTTTTCCGCTGCCTGTGGCACCGGAAATAACCATAGTGAAAGGAGCTTTGAACATTTTTTTGCCTTGTAAAAAATGTGTTTTCATTTATATATTACAGATGATTCCTAAAGCAATTATTCAAAATGTTGTTTCTACAGCTCAACTGCTTGATAAAAATAGTAAACTTAATCTTTATAATCTTGCAGAAATAATAAACAATTCTAAATATGCTCCTGAACGTTTCTCAGCACTTATAATTAGAATTCAACAACCAATTAGATCTACGGCTTTAATATTTTCTAACGGCCGAATTGTATGTGTTGGGACAAAATCGGTGAAGGACTCGGAAATTGCAATTGGACATTTTGTTGACATCATATCATCTGCATGTTCCTTACTAATAAAAATGCGAGGATTTAAGATACAAAATGTTGTATCCTCATTTGCTTTTCCTGGACATATTAATTTACCAGGTAATTTTTCCTATCATAATGAATTATTGTTTTAGCCTTGTACGACACCATGAGAATTTCTCCTCCACAGTGGCTAGCTAAACATATTTCTTATAACCCAGAATTTTTTCCGGGTATGTGCTTAAGACTTGTTGATTTTCGCACGGTTGTTTTAATCTTTACGACTGGAAAGTGTATAATTACAGGCGCACGAACAGAAGAAGATATTTTTATTGTTCAAAATAAAATTTACAATTCTATTTTAATGTTTGTAAAAATCAATAAATACTAGTGTTGATTTCGCTTCTTAATTCCATCAAGAGTTTTCCAAGATAATTTTCGCCTTCCCATTGATTAGGGTCTTTCAGTTTTGCACTTTTTGGGCTTACACCGTTGCTCCAATAAAGTTCTGATGCGGACGCCTGCGTAATAAGTCCATCGCCTGTGGCACGTAACTGATTGAATAGCTGAGTGTTCTGGGTAAATTTTGCCCATATTCCTGTGTACATGACCTAAATATTATGATGAAATAATAAATAATATTTTTACTTTGTTGCGAACAGTGTTCCACTCGATTTGGTTATATCCGCGGATTCGTTTTCCAATTCTTCGAATAGTTATAGGATTATCTAGCATTAATATTTCTGAGGCAATTTCCAAATCCCCGAAGAAACGTGCTTTCTGCCAAATGAAAAATTGTTCTACTGAACTAAATGTTTTTCCAAGTAATGTGAAATTTGTTCTAAATCGGTTGTCAAAGCCAAAACGTTGAGAATGAAATATGAATATATTTTGATGCTGTTCGCCGATAATTTCTATTGGTGGATGCGAGTTCGAAGTAATTTTTATTTTAAGTCGTTCTAGGAAACAAGCTGTATTATCTAAAAATATTTATATTTGAAGTAATTTAAAAAATTAACCTATATTGATATCATTGATCATATTGCTAAAAATATATTAAAACAACTAAACTAGAATTTATAAAAATATATTGTATAAAACAAATCAAAAAACAAAATATTTATGAAAAAATATTTATACGAAAAAGATCATTTTGTTGGATCATTAATAGGTGCACCCCGATATCCATAGGGATAACAATCGAAATTTGCATCTACAAATCCTTTGTCATAGATTGGTGTGTAGCGTCTAAATAATTTTTTTATATTTTTCAGATAAAAACAAAATACCTTATTTGAGTTCGACTTGTAACTTGTCCTTTGCGCCAGTTAGGTTGAAAATGTGTTCTCTGCAATACCACAGGATCTTGTTCTTCTCCATATGCTTCTACCATTTTCTGTAAATAAATTATAAAATTATATTGTAGTTTTTAAATACCCGGAATTGATTAAAGTCCAGTGGTGTATCAACTTGCTCCCAAAGTCCACGGCATTTTACAATATATTTTATTTCACCAGTTTCACGGTGCTTCATTTTCATTGCATACTAAGAAAAAATACAGTGAATAAAAGTGTTATTTAAAAACCTGTTTGCATCCTCCTGTATAAAAAGATATAATAGCCCATTCTTCATATTCGCGACTCATCATTCCAAGCATATCCCCAACACGAAACGGTGGTTTTTTATTACGCTTGTGTACAAAAAAACAACTATCCGTATCGGTATATAAAAGTTTACACCCGTTGTCATTTACAATTTTTTCCATGAAGTCGTAAAGCATCACTCTTGCCGTTGCTGTTGTAATAAGGGCCAATATAATGTTGTACTTATCGTGTGGTCGAACAAATTCGCGACGATTCTTATAAGGTACAGCGAAAAGATCTGGAGTCAACATCTCTATAGCCCCCACTTCAAGCTTTGGATCATTTAAAATTGTATGAAGTTTTATAGGGGAACTTGTGATGCAATCTTGAGTTAAATTACAGCGAAGTGCCCAGCGTCCCCACCTAAAATTTTTGATTTAAATTTTTAAATTAATTTACATTGAATTATTGCAAGTTTTAGCTAAATAGCGTAATCCTTCATTCCTTGCTATTTTTGAAGGCTCAAGAGTAATACCATATTCTTTTTGATTTTTCACAATAAAATCATTTTTGAGTCTTTCTTCATTTTCAAGATTTTCCGGACACAAAGCACTGGTGGGCCAACCGCTTGCCTAAGTTAAAACGTATGAATATCAAAACTAATGTTAAAACCTCAATTTTTAGACGCATCATGTCCTGAACATATGGACGTAGTAATTCATCAGACCATTCTTCCCAATGATAGATGCTATAAACTTTTGTTGCACGATAACCTCTGCTCAAAGCAAGTTCAAGTTCTACAGAGCAAGTTGTGCTTACAAATCCGCGCTGTCTATCATTATGTTGACACCATTTTCTTTCATAACTATAGCCGTTTTGTTTACGTTTAGCCACACCGGGCTCTATCTCTATTGCACATTGATGACATAGGTGAAATAACTAGAAAAATTTTTCACTTTGGATTTAAATTAACATACCAATTTTCCGTGTATTCTCTCTGGAATTACAGGTAAATATAAGTCGTCAGGGGGAATGATGAATAACTTAAATATTCCACGATAAGGTCGTAAGTCTTCAGGTTTTGTCCAATTTATGTCGAGATTGAGATCCAATAACTCAGGATGGCCTAAAATATATGGTTACAAATTTTTATAAAGTCTCACCAATGGGGTAGAACGCATAAAAGTTGACCGCAGGATATAGACTAACAACATCATAACATGAGATTTCGTATTCGTTTTCTGCATCACCTTCAAGGTTGCATTTAAGAGATAATGGTCCTGTTCTTCCACCTAGATATTGCATAATTATAAGAATTAAAAAATAATAAAACCATGAAAAGCATCCCGAGGGAATAAAGGTCCAATATCTGGCAATTCATCGAAGAAAAGGGACATTTTCGGATTATTTTCCAATGCCTTGACTACTTCGCATTCCCAAAATATGTAGGTACGTATGTTCTCGTTCTTTAACAAATTGATTCGTTCGTTTAAAGTGTCGTCATTATATAGTGCTGTTTTACCGTTGAGACAGATTTCATGAGGACGATAAAGACTGAATTTATAAGTAAGAAAATGAAGCTTATTTTACCATTTATGTCCATGCCATGCACATCCGAGGAACTCTATAGCTATATTTTTTTCTTTAATAAAACCATCAAGTCGCAAAACACTTCCATTTGAAACAGTAATTCTATACTCGCCTTCTGCACTTTGTCTGTTTTGAATTTGAAGGCCTGTTTTATGTTCAAGCCATTTAATAAATTTAATGGAGATTGCAGAGTAGTTTGTATCTTTGTGATACCCGTTGTCTGGAATAATACCTATCTGATTGCTTTTCAAATAGTTTATGCCTAAAAAATAAAACTATATTGGTTAGAATTTTGAAATTTACAAAAATGACGAAGGCATGCACTAGCAAGTGTCATTGAAGATACAAGAACATCATCTCGTTTTGATGGTTCCGTAGCGAGTTCAAAGAATAGCTTTTGAAGTTTAACAAGAGCGTGTGAAAGTATGCGTACATCCTGCTCACAATATTCGACAATTTGTTCACAAAGTAAAAATGAACTGTCCTTGTGCATATCATACCATTCCTCGAAATCTTTCCTTCTTTGTTTTCCCATTGTTTCGGGATAATAATACTTCTTAGCTGGCAGACTTTTCAACAAAATATCCATATTTTTATTAAGATTCCATCCGTGAGGAAAAAATGATTTTCCTCCTTCATCAATATCTAGTCCAAGAGCCTTTGGTAATTGATCCAACTTGAGCATCATCCAATTAAAAGAATCGCGAAAAGAAATGTGCGGATAAATTCCATCTTTCTTCTTTATAAGAACTTCGTAAAGTTTGTTTCCAGTTCTTGTTATATTTGGTTCAATTCCAAAGTGATTGATCAATTCACCCAATAGTAAATGCATATCATAACGTCTGGAAAAAATATTAAAATAAAAAAATTATTCAGTACAAACCCTCCATAATGTGAAATTGCAAGAGTTTTTCCTTTTCTCTCATTATCAAGTCCAAAGATTATCCATTGAAGAAATTCACGCAATGGGTTCTCGTAATTTGCACCCGTCCAACTTTTCATTCTAGGAATTCCCGGTCCACAAGTTTTGCATGTTCCTGTATATTTTTCTTTCCAATTATTATTTTGCATACACTTTGCGCATAATAGCATTGCCTGATTTATAATTTATCAGTTATTATAATTTAAATTACCGAGACACAGTTAACATGATGTAATTTATAATTTTCATCGTTAGATGAACTATCATTTATAATTTTTGATGATGATATAAGTTCACATTCAAAATCAAATACAACCTAAAAAATTTTTATTTAAAAGTGTTTAAAAAATACCATAAGATAAGATTGAGCTTTTTTAGGAACAATCTGTTGTACAAAGCATTGTTCATCCCTTCTATGCCGTGAATGACAAAGAGAACAGAAACGAATATAACATACATGTCCTTCATTTTCCTCTTTGTTATTCACTTTGTAAATTTGACCACATTCTTTGCATCTATTTTCAATTTTATTTTTTATTAAAATTTAAAATACCTTTTAAAAATCTGGCATATTCCCTTTTCAATATGTCGTTTGTAACAGTCTGGATTTCTAAACAAGTTGAAACACTCAGAACAATTTATTTCGTAGTTTTCAATCTCTTTACATGGAAAATCTGCGCCCATCCCGCAGCAACGTGGACATTTTGCTGCACATGTCTGCCGATGTTCTATTTTGCTGTGGTAGGTTGATTCACATTCAAGACAATAATACATATCCTTTCCAAAAAGTGTATTTAGTTTTCTTATACCATAATAATGTCCTTCCTTTAAATATAGACAAATATCCTTCTCAGCACGAGATGCTCCCTTCCATAAAGGTTTCATTTGGCCATATTCTCCAAATACTGCTAATCGATATTCACCAGGAAATTTTTCATTAAAATATTTTTGTATTAATGGGGCATGTTCTTCTACATTATATTCTTGCAATTTTAGAGGATATCTTATTCCGTGTCGTTTCATTTGAATTAACATATCCTTGATCAATGTGTATCTTTGAGTCTTGGATCTTGCTCCTTTTCCCGCAATAATTCTTTGAAAATTCATTTTTTCTTTTGGTGTATTGTCCATATTTATATACATCAATGTTAGCTGAACAGCCAGCAAAAGGCAATGGTATTTGGCAGGTTCACCTAGATCATCATTGCGAACCTAAATTTTGTTATATTGTATTTTTAAAATTTAAAAACCTCAATAAGATTGTTGAGGTCTGTTCCTTTCATAATATGTCTTGAT